CTGATTTGATTTACCGTATATGGCCTCCCATCTCACACAAGCAACTCTGCGTGGCAAACAAAGTTAAAAACATCATTATATCAGTGCAGAAGAATTCCTGTTGTGTAGTTATTTTCTTTAAATGAAAAGAAGTCCCCAACAGGAATAAAACGAACACTATGGCAGCTGAGGATAACCATCAGCCATCAATCAACAGTATCTCACAGGCTCATCTAACCTCCCCGCCGCACGCCTGGGAGAACAGCCAGGTCTTACGGGCCCTCCAAACATCCAACAGGGTCAGGGCCAACCTCATCATGGGTGAGATGGGTGGGCAGACTCAGCAACAGAAAAGGCTCGCTTCCTGGTACCCTTTAAGAGATGGAGCAGGACTCTCCGGCTGGACCTGCTGGGGCAGACAGAGACAGTCAGAGAAAGGGGCTTCCTTAAACTTCCCGGCTGCGTACCTTGAAGGTTTCTATAGATGACAGCCAGCACCTTGAATTGCACCTGAATGTTCCTTATTTTGTTCTCCTTTTTACTACCATTCATTATATTGATTGGGAATGTCAACATAAATTCCAGGAAATACTGTAAATTGCAGTGTAGATGGTTAGCCCTGAATGGACACATCCAGCTACTGAAAAGACCTGCTGATGGTCCACCTACCTGCGCATTTGATCTGCTTATCAGTCCGAGGTCAATGGTTTCTCCCATGTACCAGAAGAGCCACATGGTGGATGAGAGTTTTCCTCACATTCCACCTTTGGAACTGACTCGCGCCCAAATAACATTTGCAATGGGATTGCTCAAAGCTTCAAAAAGCACCGAAATGCCTTTTTTTCATGGGCCCTGTGAAGTTGCTTTGAAAAAAATCTTACCTATTACTGTAATTTGAATGGATAGATGCTATTGTTGTACATCCTGGGCCTTTTCCTTTAGAGGCTCCTTCTTTTATATTATAAAGTAACATTATAATTGATTGTAGTATGTTAGCATTAATTGTTGTTCTATTCTAAGTCTCTCTTGTGCATAATTATAAGTGCAGGATAAATAACATTACTATTATTAGGATATATTTATCCCAGTTTTTGTTCAGGAGCTCAAGGTGTCATAGTGTTTCCTCCTCCCATTTTTCCCAACTACAACAACCCTGCGAGGTAGGTTGTGGCACAAAGTTGTCCCATGAGTTTCGGGGGAAGGCTGTCATAGAGAGGATGACTGTTAAATTCTGCATCATTCATATAGTGCACAGCAACCTATATCCTTGTTCCTTTTATGAGAGCTGGAGCTATTAAATACAGTGGTACCTCGGTTTACGAACTTAATTCGTTCCACGATTCTGGTCGCAAACCGAATCAAATTTCCCCATAAGGTTCAATGTAAATAAGGTTAACCCGTTCTGAACCGTATGTATTTTTTTTTAACCATCTTTATTCTTCAAAAAAGTCGAGATGGTCGACTTCGCCATCTTGTACTCCAAGGCCAGATCAGTCACACGCGTACCACGCTCGTGCTTTTCTACAATTTCCTTCTTCAATTCAATGGTTATT